TATATATATATATATATATATATATATATATATATATATCGTGCACGACTGTGTGTGCACGTGTATATATAGTTGCTTTATTACAACATTGATGACAAAGAAGCTGTAATAAAGAAGCTGTTGGCTCTATTCTCAGCTTACACATATACGTATTTCTTTGGTTAAAATAGTGATGACAAACAAGATGCTGGAGAGAGCTTCCGTGCTGCAACTGAGGCCGAAATCGAGTCGGCTAAGGCCCACTTTTGCAAAACAGATGGCGTGAGTGGCGAAGTGAGAGTTCGCGACTCCATTGTTCTGCCCAAAAAGGATCCAAAGGAGCGCAATATCCTCATCACAAGTGCTCTTCCCTATGTCAACAATGTCCCTCATTTGGGTAGGTCTAGTAGTTTGAATTTACATATCTGTGCATCTAAATATCGATGTCGGTGCGCATATTACCATGTGACGATAATATATACATCTAACTTGACATATAATTACCCAAGCTGTTTCACACAGGTGTGGTAATACCCAGTGTATATCTATTACATACACACAATGTCCCTGAGGACGCTCAACCGGTGGGGCTTAGAACGGGCGCACGTGTTCATGTGTGCTGGCGTGTACCTATCTGTGTACTTTCGTTCGTGCAAGCGCGAAAGTGCGCATAGATGGAAGTACACCTCGTATGAAACGTATACATTGGAGTTTGCGACATATCTTGCGCCCTGAATGACCATGTTTATATGTCGTACATTTGTCACCTGTGTGTTGCATTTGAATATACTACAGATACACGAATTGATGTACAAGATTATGTGTGATCTATACACGTTTCCGTATTTTGGTATTATTCCCTTCAACCCCTAAAATTCTCCCTATTTTTAGGCGTTTGGATGACTGAGTATTAGCATTGACACTTGCAATCCATACACGTTGTGTATCCGCATTCTCTAATGTTTTGGGGTTTCTAACAATTTGATTGGCCACATTCCTCTCACTTCTCTACTTACTCTTTATCTGATTGGATCCTTTGTTTTCATTCAGGTAATATCATTGGCTGCGTATTGTCGGCTGATGCATATTCGCGGTTCACACGTGTCATGGGCTATAATTCCGTGTTTGTTTGCGGCACTGACGAGTACGGCACAACAACCGAAACAAAGGCCTTGTCCGAAGGCTTAACACCTCAGGAGGTACGTTCTTTGATCCTCCTTGTGGGTGTTTAAGAGGGTATTCATACACGCTACATTTCATGTGCGTGTGTGTGAACAGACGATATGTCATTGTAATATCCTTGTGAGTGTATGTGAGGATATTCATACACGCCACATTATATGTGCATGCGTTTAGTTGTTCGCAATCACGCGTGTGTGGGCACCTACAAGTACCGCACCAGAACTTGAACAAAGACCTTGTTTGGCGACATGGCTCTCAAAGTAGGATATAGCCAGTTTTGCACTTGTGAGTATTCAAGGGGGTATCTCTGCATACACTACATATCCTGTGTGTTTGTACACAAAATTAATCAAGTAAGAATTTATAAAGATATCCACTATGCATCCCATAGTATTTTCCGCTATTCGACTTGAAATCAATTGCAAAATTGTGGCATCTGCGACACATTCGCTCGAGTCTCAGCTTACCAATTCCTCGCATTCCTTGTTTATAGCATTCCTCCCATTCCACCGACTGCTCACATTCCACATATGTGACGTTATAGATCTGCGACAAGTACCACAAACTGCACGCCGACATCTACGAGTGGTTCAACATCGGGTTTGACAAGTTTGGACGCACCACCACCCCAAAGCACACCAAGTATGTCTTGTGCTCGATTTCATGTGTGCTAGTTGTGTGTGTGTGGGATGTGCGTATGTGCACATCCACATGCCTGTATTCCGGCGTTTCTCAGCATGTGCATGTTTGTGTATCCATGGATGTATGCTACACCAGATGTGCTGTCTTGACCATACCTGTGTTGCAAGTCTTGGTTTTACGCGGAGGTATGGGTACATCATCAGCGCGACTGCCTCCATACGACTATTGTCTGCGAATTGAACTCAGAATACGCATATGTACATCTGTTTCGCGAGAGAGAGATATATATATATATATATAGTTATAGTTATATTTATAGTTATATTA